TAATTAAGCAAGTAAAATATTGTGACAGTGAAGGCGTGATTGGAGGATATAGGAAATGCGAATAGGCCAGAGCAGAATGGGAGATACCGTAACTGTTTAGCACACGTTTGGTCAAAGGATCGGGTTCAATTGTCTCTTTGACGAGTTGTAATATGGTGCTACGAATGGTGGGACTCACTGACGATACCGACTACGATGCCGGCGAAGCATTTGGGAATATACCACGTCCATGGTCCGACTTTGGAAATGATTATGCATACAATGGACTTAGGACAAGGTGCGTTCCTATTAGTTTTCCTACCAATATGACCAAGTTGCAAAAACATGGTCAAACAACTTATATCTTTCATAGAGCTTGAAAAGGCGGCTGCAAGGGATGCGTTAATTGATTTCACCGGTCACCGAAAAAAGGGTTGCCATGGCCTTGTGACTGTTGGATTGTGCAAAGAAGGCATTGACTCACCATCCTTCGACGCCGAACCATCCGTACTGAGCTTTCCTTCATCACATGACGGACATCGTCAGAGCCAAAAACCATAATTTAGGAGCAATCATCAAAAACCCACCGAGCTTAGCAATTATTCATCGTGGTCGCAGGACAATTGACCGATCCAACAGTCGCAAGTCAAGGGCAATCCTCATTCGGTGTACGATGAGACCTATTTATGAATCTATTCGATCAGGCCTTGTGTTTAGCTTGAGAAACAAGTTTTATTAGGGAGACCTTCATTTCATATGAAAGTGCATGGTGCACATATTCGAAGGTCGATCTCACTAGAAGACGACTGTTGATTCGAGTCCTACGGCAACCGTTTGGCTTTAATAAATAACCTCTATATCGACACAGTCCACGAGGCGTCCTTCCTCGTTTCTGGAGTAAACGGGATCATCTTTCGTCCATCATATGATGGACATCCCCAGAGTTGGAACAAATTCTTGTAAAAGTTTTACATTAATCCTCGGTCAAGAAGGCCGTCTGGCTCTATCTTACCTCTTATACTGATTAGTAAAAAACAAAAATGTATAAGCAAAGATAGAGATAGAATGCTTTTACTAATTGCCTTTATGTGTATGTTGCATGCATGAATGCATGTATGCATTTATGTGGGCATATGTATTCGTGTGTGTGTGTGCGTGTTAACGTCTATACGCAATACCTGACCCAATATGAAAACATTTTTTGTTAGTAATATGAGATGTAGTCTCGAAACTCTACTTACACACAAAACATTTTTGTTGGTTTCAAATTAGCTTGCACCATTACCTACAAGAAGTAGGCCCCAACGCCATCGCAAACTGTGAGTCGATTCAAGATCTCTGCAGACAGTTGACATAGACTATCAGTTACTATCATTTTGCATAGGCTTATATCCATCAGCCTGGAAACTGGGCGGAGCATAGTTGGCTTGAATATTGTCGATGGTGGGTTGTTTCACAGCCATATGAAGCCTGAAACTGGTATATTTCACCAATTTTTAATGGTGCATTTGGAGGGATAACTAATATACCGAGATGTCTCCTACTGCCTACACTCCAGCCCAGCCACATAAGGCTATAGTACCAATAAAGTCATGGACTGTTTGGAGTGTGAATCCCTCAGGGCATACAAAGAGAACCCGATATGATGAAAATACTGCCGAACCGGATTGTTGATAGTCGCTTTGCCTCAGAAAGAATCAGACCAGAAGTCCCAGTTTAAAATATGGGACTTCTTCATGTAGCTTTTCAAAATGACTTTGAATATTTCTTGTTGAGTAAATGAATGATTGCTCACTGACAGCATGTGCTGCTGCTCAGCCAAAATTCAGATTGAGCTGCAGACGCATAAGCATTTAATAAAGCCGTCTTATGTCGCAGACCAGCTCCAAAGACATAATATGGCTGCCAGCAGCTCGTATTTCAAGCCCGAAGATTTCTATATTTAAATGGGAACATCATCAGTCTGATACGATGAAATTAGGCCAAGGATATCTTGCCATTCTAAGACGTTGCTTTCAAAGCTTAGAATTTGAGTTTCATGTCCTTGGGACCTGCGTGAGATACGGCTCGACTTCAAGACATTGCTTGTTTCGCAACTTGGTCTTGGGGTCAAAGAGACTATGTAGAACGCGTTCTACATAGTCTCCCTGACCCCAACACCAACTTGCGACAACGAGGTCAACCCACTTCTATAAATCAAAAGGAGACTGCGACCAAACCAGAGGCCACAACTTCTTGGTCTTCATATCTTAAATAGATTGTTTCGCCTGCTTCACCCTTCCTGATCTATTCGAGTTGTGATAGCCTTAATAGGAGGAAATTATAACTGTGGAATTGAGATCACTCATTCGTTACAGATTGGTCTCAGAGATCAGTTGGTCTCCTCACTTCCTGTTCCCGATGTTTGACATCTGCCAGACGCAGGATCCTAATTAGCATAGACTCATAATTCCTTCTTTAAATTGAAAAGGAAACCCGCATTGTGGGTTTCCTATTCACATCTCTCCATAATATGCTCCCCTCTTTGTTTACTATGAGATCAAGAAAAGGTAAACCGCCTTCATTTTCTAACTCGATGGTGGATTTCGTCTTCCCATCGATTCTGTTCATCAAACCAAGAAAGCTCTCCAGGTTTTCTTTTCCATGTTGCCAAATAACAAAGTAGTCGTCCATAAAGCGGACTACCCTACTCTCATACTAATAATTTATGTTGTTGAGCTTATTTTCATTTCGAGTAGAAGTGTTGGGTGAAGATATTCGAAGGTAGGTTCCACCAGAAGAGGACGGCTGATTCCTCATGACCAGCTGTCGATTGGCTTTACTGGAAGATTCATGCTGACGCTGTTTCCGAGGTAATCTCCTTCGATTCCACCAGCTGTCGATTGGCTTTACTGGAACATTCATGCTGACGCTGTTTCCGAGGCAATCTCCTTCGATTCCGCTGAAAAGAG